GGGGAGGGGGGAGGGGAGGGGGAGAGGCGACCGCCATTACGTGCCAATTTCCTCTGGCAAAGCCTTTTGCCTCGCTCGTAAACGTTTCTACGCTTTCGATTCGCTCGCCGAGAGTAAATTGATTCGGAGAGGAGCAAGAACAAGGAGATATTCCTAATTGGCTGGATCCAAGTGTACTTTCCAAAGTGGATAGGAAATACGTTTATGGTAACGAGCGTGGTAACGATCGTAAATGTCGCCCAGAAGATCTACGTTCGGTTATCTGAACAAATACATCCGTTTTTCGCGAGTAACCGCAATGTCGCGTTATATAAAAAATGAAACGTGCAAGATTTGATAAGAAAAAGAAAAAAAAAAAAGAAATATGGTCCTTTGGAAATTGGTTAAATTCAATTGGTTAAGAGTTTTCAACGTCCGTGCAATTTGTAAGAGAGAGTTGTAAGAGTAGGAACGAGACGTGAAATTCGATCCTTTGGAAATTTCTACTCGCTCCGGAATAATTTAATTCGTTGATTCATCGGCGCTCAAATTTTCACTATCCGTGTAATTGAAATTAAAAAGAAAATTAAATATATCGCGTAAGAACGAAACGTGGAATTCGATGAGAAAATAGTTCCTTTAGAAATTTCGCTCTATTAATTAAATTCCTTTATTACCGCTCGTTTTGTTTCGAGCAATTTGAGAAAATTAAACGTGTAATATTGTAAAAATGAAACGTTGAATTCGAAAGAGAGGGATCCTTTCGAAATTTCTACTTAAATTAATTAAATTCGTTACTAGCGCTCGTGCATTCAATACCCGTGCAATTCGAGAAAATTAAACATGTCTCTGTAACATCGTAAAAAAGGAAGCGTAGAATTCGACAAGAAAATAGTTCTTTCGAAATTTCTAATATTAGTCATTATCGCACGTATTCATAGCACATACAGGTATCGCGCGAGATATTACCACCTCGATTTTCATTCCCGTTATTATATACACATAGAGTTGAATGAACATTTCAGTTGAACATTTTATTACTTTTTTTTGTAATTTTTAGTAGGCGAACACGCGAAGAAATAAATTTCAACTTGAAATATTGAACGGATAATTTTTGAACGTGGAGAATAAGATCGAGAGAATACGAATCGACAAGCGCGATAAAAGAAATATAATCCTACTTAAAAGAACATTAACGATTTTCTCTTGACGCGTAAAAGAAAACTAGTAACGACTCTCTCTGAAAAATTTTTTGCCATCAATAATAACACCGGCAACAAAACGAGATTGTAGCGTCCGAGACGAGTCACCTTACATACATGTATATACACGTATACATATTATATAGCTTTCTCTACTATCCGCGAACGGAAAGACCTTGGAAACTTATCCCCTCCCCCAAGCGGATACGACGTTTTACCATGTCTCGTGAGAATCCGCGTACCACGGATGAAATTAAACGGAATCTCGCGATGTTCCCGTCTCTCAATCGCGATTCGATCAATTATCTCTAGTAATTCTTCGTATATTTGAAAACTCGAAATTCCTTTATTATTTTCCTTCTCCGTGGCGGTGAATCCCGGCGATTTCTGTGTCAAGTTCGAAACAAAACTTGGAAGGGGATTTGTCGAGGGCAGGTGACGATCGATCGGGCTTCGTCCGCGGGAACAGGGTTTCGTAATATTTTCACGATGCTTCGAACGCCGTGAGCCGTTCCGAGCAACAGAGCCGGCACATCTCGAGAATGTGCCGCTCGGCCCTGCGGCTACGAATTCCGTTACGCGCACTTGTATGGCTCTTCGCCTTCCTCACCCCTCCTCCCCGCTCTGCCCGCCGATAAATTTTTTTTCGCCGGCCGCCATTCTCTCTCTTCTCGATTCTCGACGAAATTACCCACAAAAAATGTACACACATATATATATATATCCATATTTTCGTCCAAAGCTTTCTTCTTTCTCTACGGAAAGGAAAAAAATGTCGCGCAAAGTGTAGAAAGTCGCATAGAAATTCGTCTAGGATAATCGATCGTTGGACGAAGTAAGGAAAGCGTGAGCGTGCGAGGAAAGTCCGATCAATGAGGTAGAACCAAGTTGATCGAGAGAGGAATCCTTGCGATCGAACCGTTAAACCGGGCTTCTCCTTCCTCTTTATTCCCCTTATTCCTTCTCCCTTCTCTTCCCCTCTCCTTCGAAGGTTCCCCTCTCGTCACGAAGGTTGCGTGTCGCGGCCGTTTTCGTCCAGTTTGATTTATCGGGCGCGTGGCGCGGGGAGAAGAAGGGGATTTTCCATTCTCGCGGATCGCGTGAGACAGCAGGGAAGGACCAGGTCGCCGCGAAAAAATAACAACCGTGACGACCGAGGTAGGGGGCGGTTGGCGATCAGCTG